AAACCCATATATAAGTAAATATGCTTTTAATATGTTGTAATTTCGTGTGGTACATAATCATTAGTATGTTACTTGTACAATTTAGTTTTTTAATGTAAAATTAATTCAAAAATATAGAGTAGAGCACAGTACATATTCGAAATACCTCACTCAAATCAAATAAAACTCCAAGATATCGCGATCAAAATTTGTCCATAATTTATTTGGCTAGCTTGAATAATACCCCATGTTAATTATATGTTAAATTAATCTACTTTGTACATTTTTTGTGTGGTAAAATCTTTAATATAATTCGGCCACTTGTTTTTGTGAAAACTTAACTGTCATGCTCTCTTTTACTTAAATTATAAAACTAAAAACATTAATGAACACTAACTCTATTTCAACCAACAAAATATTAAATATTGGTGAAGTAAGATTTGGCATTCATCGAACGATAAAGTAGGCAAGTAGGTACAAAGTTGTAACACGTTCAAACCCGCATTTGTTGTTGCTTATCTTAATCACTTGTCAACTTGGTTCATCATGCACCTCAATTATATTTGTTGCCAACATTATCATGTAATGTTTAGTGCATTGATCCTTATCTCTATACATGCATGTTATCAAATATCAACTATTATATTGTTATCGTTTTTAGAAAATTGTATACGAGTTTTACGTGTGAATTAAATATGAAAGTGAAAGTAACTAGTCATTTCTTTACCTACTTGGTAAACTACCCATCACTAATAAAGAGTGGTGGTAGTAGAATTGACATTAGCTATATCAATATTTTTAAATTTTATTTGTGGCGGGTTTTCTACCTAGTGGATAGATGTAGTAATGCTCGAAGCAGAGTTACTAAGTATTTAAAAGGGTCTCAACAATTTAGAATTCAGCAACAAACAATGTGTGATTAGTCCATAACCATGGTTTTATTTTTTTAGCTAAATTCAATTAATTCTTTCTTACATGACTTGTATTAAATGTTGAATTGAATTTGACAAGTCTTAATAATTCAAAGGCAAAAGCTAACATATGAAAGCGTTAAATAAGATTACTAAAATTAGTAATGTTAAATTAAAATTAACATTAATTACACCGATCGATGCTAAACATGCATTCTAAATTACTACCATTTTAGGGGAGTATATTGTTATTTATGCCACGGGGTAGCATGTTTGCAAGATCTGTACAAATAAATTGTTTTTGCACAAATTAATACGCTTGCATGTTTTACCCAAAATATAAAAAATAAATAAATAAATAAAAGTAAAAGTTTAATTAAAATGATGGGTAATATATATGCATTCTTTAGACCCTCATCTGAGTAATAAATAAATTTTCAAAATCGAAATTAATTTAGAATGCGTTATAAAAAATTTATGTTAATCTGTAATTAACAATAACTCCCTAAGTTGAAATTTGAAACAAAAATATAAATAAAATAATAACCTACGACCACTAGCAAACGAACACCAATATTGAAATTTTAAACCCAAAAATGGTGAGTCTAAAATATTTGTTAAGAATCCAACTGATGTGATTGGGGCCCTTTTAAAAAGTCCCTAAGTTTGAAGCAAAAGATAAATTGACTTGGTAGTATTGGGTCAAAAAACAAAGTAAACGAGACATTTGCCTTAGTAGTTATCAGATCATACTTTTTAATTAAATAGTTTTAGAAATTTTATCGATTAAGTTGAATGACTTGCTAAGTTTTTCAAAGTCATCTCTTTCATTGCGGCTCCACGGCTCCACCTTACGTATAAGATTACAAGCACTACCAAGTCAAAGGACCTATATGTCAAATAAATGCTATGTATTTCTAATATATAACAGACAACTATATTAAATATGGGTCAGAGTCATAACCCTCGTCATTAAGAAAAACCTACTTCATAAAGGAGGTTCCCCTACATTTGTTGATAAATCAGATGGTGTTGATAAATGCGGAACAAGTTAATGAAAAATAATAAGAGTAAGAAAAAACAATAAAGAAGATAATAAAAGAACATAGGAGTCCTAATTTGTAGCTCAAGGGTGTGATCTAGGGGAGAGAAGCCAAGAAGCCCATAAACACAACCTATAACGAGGTTTCATCCTAAAATCAATTGACAATAAGAGGAGTATCCCACTTGAGTTATAAACTTAAAATCCTTTACTTTCTTTTTTAATTTAGGACAAACAATATTCACACTTGCATTTAACAATAATTTATGGCAATAAGTCCATAAGGGATTGAGTAGTTTCTTAGCCTTTTTAAGCACTCCCTTCCATCTTAAGTGCTATTTTCAGTTAGAATTTTAGACGTTAAACACCAAAAAAAAAAAAAAAAAAAAAAAAAAAAAAAAAAAAAAAAAAAGAATTTTAGACATTAAATTTTTAAGATATTAGGTGCCTGTGGAATAAATATTGTACATCGAAGGTAATGTTATCCTAAAATAATCAACAGTACAATTACTTTTTTTTTTAAGACAATAATCAATAGTTACCTTGATTCAATATGAAGGTACCTAGCTATTTGTACTAGGGGTATTTAGATCAAGGTACTTGGAGCTTCAGGTAGTTAAACGCCCGACCCATATGACCCAACCCGGTTAAACCGGGCAACCACATTTCAGGTACCCTGTTTAACCGATCAAGTCAACGGATATCCGATTGTTTGCTTGCCACAAAATTGTTTTTACCGTTGCTTCAATTACTCAATATAGTTTCAACGGATCAAAATCACTTCCAAAAGCATCTATATATATGTCAGCGTATAACAAAAGTACTTAAAATATTTAAGTTATAAAATATGCATTGGCAAGCTAAACGTTAAATTCCCAACAAAAAAAAAAGGATGAAGTATTACAAGGACTCTTCTTAAACTTTGTAAAAATGCAAGTGATGCATTTATAAAGAAACGAAGGAAGTACTTTATTATTATTTCTTTCCCTCTCACACCTTTTACTTTTCAATACAATAATATCAACTCCACTACGTTTTCCTATAATTTGTTTAATACCCTAATTAACAATAATCCTACTTATCTCTTTTTATATTAAACTCAATCAATAATTTACCTAAAATTACGTGACGAACAAAGTGTAACACTTACTTCTGGTGTGTTTACGATTCCAACAAGTACCCATACAACACTATATACTTTTTTCTTATGTATAATTTATTAGTATTGGTCAAAGTAAGTCGGATGAATAGTGCGAAAAGCAGTGTTGGTTATATGGAGGACCACCCTTAGCGACCGCTCCTCTTTATATATATATATATATATATATATATATATATATATATATATATATATATATATATATATATATATATATATATATATATATATATATATTTTAAAAAAAACATATAAATAAAATAATTTTATATTAATAATATGAGAAAATTTTCTATTTAGTTTTTTTAAATAGATTATCCCTGTGCAATGCACTATTTTAATAAAAAAAAAAAATTATAGTATAGAACTCGTATATACAATGAATCTTTTCAATTTTGTCATAGATTCATTAGAAGGAGATTTCTTAAAAGAAATACAGTTTGAATGTTTCAGGAAATTTCTTAACATTTGAATATTAGTGTTAAGGAATTGAAGAGAGAGAATGATATGTCTTTAAATAAAAATAAAAGAATCAGTTGCTATTCAATTTACTATACTTTGGTTTTCTAGATTAAAGTTGTTGAAAGAACTTAATTAGCTTGTTTACGAAGTATCACACAAAAGAAAAAAAATCCTTTCAGAAAAAAAAAAAAATTCTCAAAAAAATGACATTATCAATGGTTTTAAGTGGGAAAAAATTCATAACAAAGCAACATGTATACAGTTTTGATGAGAGATAATATCAACGATATTTTGTTTTAATAATAGTTAATAGATTATGCCCATAAGGCCACAATCATGCCAATAATATTTGGCATATTTGGTTGTATCTCAAAATGACATATTTGTAACTGAGAGGAATTATATGAATTTTTTTAATATATTTTTATACTTTATTTTTTTTTATTTTTTATTTTTTATTTTTTGTTTCCTTCTTCTTGCCCCATCTTTTTCATTCTCTATCATCTTCATGCTTCCTCCTCCATAAAAGTAGTTCGTGAACAACCACTAACACCACCAAATGAAAACCCTAACTATGAAGGGAGAAAAGAATGACAAGATTAACCCCTACGGGAAAGGGTTAGGTCGTCCTCCATTGAAGCCCATTGATCTCTTCCACTTCTTCATTGAAGTTCTTCCATTTTTCAATTGAAGTTCTTCACTGCTCCATTGAAGCCTTCTATTATAGCTTGAAAATACAGATATTTTTGACAAAATTAACCCAAGTTATTCACGAGAAATGACGGATTTGCCCCTTTAAGATACATATCTCATGTTGAGAAACTTGTATATTTAAAAAAAAAAAAAAAAAAAAAAAAAGTACAAGTAAAACTTTAATGGACTTCCTCGGAAATTTTTGTCTCTACTCCTTTTCATGGCTACCACATTTTGTAGTTTTATGTAGCCAAATTGTTTTATTCGTGCTCCATGAAATAAACTCCGCCACTTGAACTCTCCACTTTGGCAATGACATAACTTGACATATGCTACATTGCTACGCTCGAGCTACAACATAAGAATATATGTACTAGAATCTTTCACTAATTTCTCAATTGTTAAACAAATTCATCGTTTTGTTTGCTCTACAACTAAATTGACCCTCCTATGCATGAGTGTCATCACACCAATTCATCTGTTATCTATTTTTTCTGCTGACATTAAAATCAATAACTATTACATAAAAGAAATCATTATATGTAGATAATTAATCTGTTAATGATAATTAACAAAATTGACAACTTCTATTTGATAAAAGATCACACCACTATACGACATATACATAAGGAGAACAGAAAATCTAAATGCAACAAATTCATAAAACAATTGAATCAAGTAAATGTTCATCCCTTTATCAAAATTAAAGTACATTAATTGAATAGGGATGTATATATTCTTTTTTTACGGTAGATAGGTATTTGAACTAACGATTTGTTGTAGCCGTGATGACGATTTTAAGCCAAAATACTACGGAGTATTGACATAATAGCATTTAATTATATGCTTTTCTCGAAGGAAACATGTTAACATTTGATTAGATTGCAAGGATTTAGAATTTTAATAATCCTTTGTAACATATGCATGTGTAATATTCAGCATTTAACAAACAAAATTACAAATGCATTTTTATGTATACATCAAAATTTCAAAACCGAGCAATATTAAATCAAGGAACTAGCTAGCTAAATAGATGGAACAAAACTTATAAAAATGAAAATACAACAAACAAAAACAAACTTATAAAAATGAAAATACAACAAACAAAAAAAACCAAATTATTATACGGTTCATTTAACTAATAACTCGAGTTAATTCAATTTAATTTAATTGCATGGTTATTTTGATCTGTTATTCGAAAAAAAAGAAAAAAAAAACCGATCAAAACCGGATTATAGTTCATTTAAGCACCAGGAGCAGCATCCTTAACCTTACTATGAAGATAACCACCATATTCTTTAGCATAATCCTTAACCTCTCGAGCCGTAGTCACAATCCGGTTCCTAGCGTAATCAAACCGGTCCGAACCGGGTGGGTGGAGACCCCGGGAGTACCGGTAAACCCATGATAAAACCGCGACGGCAGCAACACCAAACCCGCAAAGGCAGAGGAACCCAACGAGGGGTACAAAGACGAGGACAAAGATAGGCAGCCAAAAGGGGCTAGTGAGAACAATAATGGGTGCAAAAACAATAAAGCCTAGGACAACCGCAGTGATACTAAAGCCGGTTAGGAGAAGAAGTATCCCGCCAACGATGGCGAGTGTGAGGAAGCCGATGAGTTGGGATGGGTTAGGGGAAGAGTCTTGGATGCGGCGGAGGAGGGTGGTGTGCGGTGGTGGTGTGGTGGTGAGTTGGGTGGTGCGGTGAGGCCGAGTGGTTGAAGACATTTTTTAAGGATGTTATTTTATATTTTCAATTGTTTGATATAAAAGATCATGCAAAAAGAGGTGGTGAATAGTAGGGTTAATAAGGAAAGGTGGGAGGGAGGATGAGGTGACACGTGGAAGTGGGATTTGTGAGTGTTTTTGGAAAGTGTGAATTTTAGGGACATGCAACCAAGCACGTGGAAGAAAGTAAAGGTGGATTATTAAGGGAGTTTAAGGTTTTTTTTTTAATTTTTTTTATTGATTAATTTAATTGTTTTTTATTTTGTATTATGATCTTGTTTTGCGGAGTTGTTTACTAAATTAGAAGTGAGGGTGATTATAATTGGTTTAAATGGATGAGGTGTTTGGTTTGTTTGGATTTTACAGAGGAAATTAAAGGGTAATAATTAGTCATTTTTGGTTGTGATTTGGAAACTGTTGAGCCTTTTGGTTTTGATGGACAAATTGACAAACTCGACTAATGAATGTTTTGAGTCTTTGGTGAATAAAGGATTCAAGCAAAGTTCGTTCCGGAGTAGGAACTTGGATGCGGAGTAGCATTCTCTAAAAAGCCTCGTGCAAATCTCACGTTCTAGTTTTAATTGTGAGCACTCAATATTATAAAGTCGGAAAGGAACTCAATGACTTATGTTAAAAAGACTACTGGAATAAAAGTTAGTTTTAAAAGATAATTTCTTAAAGAAAAGATAATTTGTAAAAGTTTTAATAAAGATAATTATCGAAGATAATTATCTAGTTGTTTTAATAAATAATAAATTTATCTTTTCAAATAAAATCTTTTTAAACAAACTTTTGATAATCTTTTTAAACAAATATTTGATAAGGATAGCAAGCGGTTTTTCTGTGTGAAAATCTTTATACGGCTAATGATTATCAAGTTGATTAAGATAGTGGACTAATTAGATAAGGCTAGGAAACCTCTTCATGATTACCATCTGTCAAGATAACTCCACAAGTTGTTAGTGGGTTGTTGGCATGTGGACGTGATTATAGTAGAGGTTAATGACTAAGCCTTCTCTATAAATACTCATGCAAACTATCTCAGCAAAATATAACTTAAGCATAAAAATTCCAGTAGCCATCTAATAACATAAAGAGAGTTATTTTCCTTCATATATTCTTGAGTGCAATAGGTATTTGTAATCACAGATTGTATACAAGTACTTTGGGGTTGGGATTGTGAGTTTGTAAGGTGAGGTTAAGGAAGCTTCGTTGCTGAAGTCTTCTGTGAGAGTTGGGAACAAGTTCCTAATTTGTGGAACTTGTTAACGGGTTTGAATCTTCACTTGTAAAGAGTTTTGATTACATAGTGGAAATTTAGAAAAGCCTATATCTTCTCTCGTCATTATTTCATTTAGTTAAATTCCGCAAAAAGTTTTTAGATTTCACCTCAAATACAATTCACCCCCCCTCTTGTATTAGCCAGTTAGACTTTCAGTTGGTATCAGAGCGGGAACTCAGAACACGCAGGCAACCCTGTTGAGTAAGTTCCTGGAAAATGGCTTACACAGAGGAAAAGGAATTCGGGAGTACATCCATTCAAAGGCCTCCATACTTCAACGGCAAATTTTATCCTTATTGGAAGGATAAGATGGAAATCTTTATCCAAGCAGAGAATTATCAGGTATGGCGGATTATACAAGTAGGAGATTACGAAATTACGAAAACGAATGCTAATAATGAGGTAATCCCTAAACCTATGGATGAGTATGAAAAAACTGATTTTGAAAAACTTGAAATGAATGCTACTGCCAAAAAGTTTTTAATTTGGGGACTTGGACCCGATGAACATACTCGTGTCAAAGGGTGCAAGTCCGCAAAGGAAATTTGGGATCTTCTGGAAGTTACACATGAAGGAACGTCAGATGTTAAACGTTCCAAAATAGACATTCTTTTGTCTCAGTATGAGCGCTTTGAAATGGGAAACAAAGAATCCATTAAAGACATGTTTACTCGATTTAAAAGTATTACTAACGAACTAACGTGTCTTGGCAAGATAATTCCTATAGATGAGCAGGTCAGAAAAGTTTTAAGAAGTCTTCCAGACAATGACAGATGGAGAGCAAAGGTTGCAGCGGTGCAGGAATCAAAAGACTTCAACAAGTTCAATCTGGAACAGCTTGCGGGTTCCCTCATTACTCACGAGATCCAGTCGAACAATCGGACTCAGGAGACTGTCAAAAGTCAAGGGCTAGCATTAAGAGCTAATGAAGAATCCGAAGAGAAGTCTGACATCGATGAAGAAGAAGCTGCAATGTTGGTGAGAAGGCTGAAAAAATTCTACCGTAACAACAAGTTTCTAGACAAGAAGAAAGGATACAGTAAAAGAAATCAGGAACCCAAAGCCAAGTCTTCTTGTCACAAATGTGGAAGCACCAACCACTTCATCAAAGAGTGTCCATTATGGGAATCTGAGAAAGGCAAGGGAAAAGAAGCTGATCAAAGCAGAAATTCCAAGCCTAACTTTTCTAAAACAAATTTCAGAAAAGCAATGATTTCCACGTGGGGAGAATCAAGTTCCGAAGAAGAGGAACAGGAACACACAGACGATGAAGTAGCCAATCTCTGTCTAATGGCAAAGCATGATGATGAGGTAGTCATTCAACCTAATTATTTGAAATCTCTCTCAAAGGATAAATTAATCTCTTTATTGTTAGAAACCTTAGATGAATATAAAGAATTATGTGCAAAACTAAGGCAAGCCGAAAAGGCAACTGGAATTTGTAGAGATCATGTTAAGTATCTGAATAGCTTAAGAAATGATGTTCAAGGCAGATTCTTTGAATTGTTAGATAAAAATATTATGCTAAAAGAATCCCTTGAAAGAGTCAAGAGTGAGAATATCATGCTGAATATTGAATTGACTCAATATAAAATGTTGTGTACTAACATTGATTCTTGCAGGTCTACTGAAGTTCCTTTAATCATGTTTAATAATGAACTAGAGCATGTTAAGAAAGAGATAAAGGAAACCAATGATAAAAATGAGAAACTAGAAAAGGACCTAGAAATTGCAAGAAAAAGTAAAAATACAGCAAGCACGGGTGTTCCCAAGTGGGTAAAGGAAGCTCAGACAAAAAGAACAGAAGGTCTAGGCTATGTTCATAAGAAGAAGTCCACTGGAAAGAAAAAGAAATATGTGAACTTACCTAGTGAGACCGTTTGTTCTTTTTGTGGTAAAAAGGAACATCGCAGTGAAGAATGTACTAAGAAAGCAAATCTGTACAATAAGAATGTGAACTATGTTTGGCAGAAGAAATCTGATTTAAATGTGTCAACACAGGAACCCATGAATGAAAGGGTTCCTACTACTAACCCTTAATTTCTTTTGCAGGTCGCAGTGAGGGGGAACAACCAGTGGTACCTCGATAGCGGTTGTTCTAAGCACATGACAGGAGATGAATCCAGATTTCTCTCACTGACGGCCTATACAGGGGGAACAGTGACCTTTGGAGACAATAAGAAAGGCAACATTGTTGCTGTTGGCAAAGTAGGAAGGTCAAGTTCCCATGCAATTGACAATGTATTTTTAGTCGAGGGATTGAAGCATAATCTACTTAGTATTTCTCAGTTTTGTGATAAAGGAAACTCTGTAAGCTTTTCTTCTGAAAAATGCAAAATCATCAACAATAACACTGGTAAAATCGTTTTGGAAGGAACTCGTAAAGGGAACACATATACCGTGGACCTTAACAAAGTTCCAAAATACAATCTATCTTGTTTAAGTGTTATTGAGGATGATCCACTTCTATGGCATAAACGTTTTGGACATGCTAGTCTTTCATTGCTTGACAAATTAAGGTCAAAGGACTTGGTAATCGGATTACCTTCTATCAAATTCCTAAATGACAAAATTTGTGAAGCCTGCATCAAAGGAAAGCATGTTCGATCATCATTTAAATCAAAGAAAATGGTAAGCACCACAAAACCATTGGAACTCATTCATATGGATTTGTGTGGCCCCGTTAGAATTCAAAGTAGAAGTGGAAAAAGATATGTCTTAGTTCTTGTGGATGATTATTCTAGATTTACATGGGTCATATTCTTACATAGTAAAGATGAAACTTTTGATATGTTTATGACTTTCTTGAAAAAGACACAAAAATCAATAGGTAATCAACTTATTCATATGAGAACTGACCATGGTACGGAATTCGAAAATTCCAAGTTTGATGAATTTTGCAGAGAACAGGGAATAAGTCACAATTTCTCAGCGCCAAGAACACCACAACAAAATGGTGTGGTTGAGAGGAAGAACCGAACATTGGAAGACATGGCAAGAACAATGCTAATAGCAAGTGGGCTTCCAAGGAATTTTTGGGCAGAAGCCGTCAACACAGCATGCTATATCGTCAACCGAGCCATGCTCAGACCAATGTTGGACAAGACACCTTATGAATTGTTAAAAGGGAGAAAACCTAATATTGCTCATTTAAGAGCTTTTGGATGCAAATGTTTTGTTCACAATAATGATAAAAGAAATCTTGGAAAATTTGATGAAAGGAGTGATGAAGCAGTCTTTTTAGGATATGCATCTAATAGTAAAGCTTATAGAGTTTACAATAAGAGGACTATGTGTGTAGAAGAAAGTATACATGTGATTTTTGATGAAACTAATAATTATGAATGTGTACAGGAATATGAAGATGGAGATTTCGAAATTGGTCTCACTCGTTCAACAGACCAAGATGAAGAATTAACTCCCAAAAAGCAGCCTGTTCGAATTACTGAAAATGCTGATAAGGAACCTACTGAAGTTCCAAACAATACTGAAGCCTCTGATCAAAATACAGAAGAAACAGAAAATACAGAAGGCGAAGCAAATGCAGAAGCAGAACACCATGAAGAAATGGAAGAAAGAGCGACTCAAAATAACACCTTTATACCAGCTCAATCATTCCAACCAAAGCCATGGAAACATCAAAGGTCACACCCCCTGGATAAAATTATAAGTGACCTAAGCAAGGGAACTCAGACGAGATCCCAACTGAGAAACTTTTGTGCATTCAATGCCTTCCTATCAACACTGGAACCTCGAAATCACAAAGAAGCTTTGGAAGATGCTGATTGGATTGTTGCCATGCAAGAGGAATTAAATGAATTCGAAAGAAACAAAGTGTGGCACCTTGAACCTAAACCAACGAATCAAAAGGTTATTGGTCTCAAATGGGTATACAGGAATAAGCTAGATGAACATGGCACAATTGTAAGGAACAAGGCAAGATTGGTTGTTAAAGGCTACAATCAGCAGGAAGGTATCGATTTTGAGGAGACTTTTGCTCCTGTA